AAAAATTGCACAAAGGCACCATTTAGGCTAGGAAAGATAGGCCCACAGCTATGACAAAACTTACTATCTAATGGAAAAAAGCAATATAGAAACTCTGGGACCAGCAGTTGGCATAATGGCCATGTTGCTGGACTCCCATGTAGTCGACCGTAGTTTGAGTCCTGGACCCGCTGGCTTAAACTCACCCCGGGAGTGTGTGTGAGGATGGAGAAGGGATTGCAGCATGGTCATCCGCCCTGGGGGGGGTGGTGGTGGTGGTGGTGATTTCTCGCTTTCTGTCTCTATGTCTCTCTCTGTCATTCTGGCAGGCACACAGGCCCCATAGCAAAAAACCTCTCCAAAAAGAAAAGCAATATAGAAACTCAAAAACCATTTTATCTATTAATGTTTGTGTTGACTTAGAAGAGCAGTCATTTATGAGGTCGAGGCGGGAGGAGAGCATTCCTCATAGAATGAAGAGCTACTGCGTCTCAGGCAGTGGTGACTTTAAAACATACCCACCACTTCTTTGATGCTCCTCCCTTTAGGCTGGCGCGGTGGGGCAGTGGGGATCTGCTGCCCAGTGAGCTGCACCCACATGAAGAGCATGGTTTGATTTCCAGGCCATGGTCCTGGCTGACTGCAAAGGCTGGAGGAGGGCAGTCTGAAACTCTGGTGGGGATGCTTGTCTTTGACTCTCACACTCATGAGATAAACGTGTATGTGTGTGTACGTGTGGCATTACTCCCCTTCCTGTGAGCATGGGCTGTAGTTAGTGACTCTGCCGAGGAACTGAACGACTGTGACTCAGGGTTCTGGCTGTAAAAGGCACAGTAGCTTCCTCCTTGCTCTCCCTCCCTCCAGCCACTCCTCTGGGGAAGCCAGATGCCATGTGGTTAAGATTCTTAGGCCAAGCTAAGAGGCCCATGTTGCGAGGAATTGTAGCCTCTTGCCAACACCAAGTGAGAAACCCTGAAGTGGGTCTGCTAGCCCATCAGGCCCTCAGATGATGTAGCCGCAGCCACCCTCCAGTCTGCAGCCTCATAAGATGCCCGTAGCCAAAGCAAAGACTATGTAAGCCACTCCAGGACTCCTGATCCACAGAACTCGAGATAAAAACTAATGCTTATTTTTCTTTTCTTCTTTAGAGAGATATTTTTGCTATAGGATATGCACACTCACCGGGGAGACAGAGAGACAGAAAGTGAGAAATCATCCCCCAGGGGGGATGGCCATGCTGCAGTCCCTTCTCTTCCATTCTCCTCTCGGGATCTTGGGATCTTGGACATGCATGCGCATGCACTTGGCTTGAGTTTTAAGCTGCTGGGTTCAGGACTAGAACTGTGGTTGACGGAACTTGAGCTGTGATTGATGTAACTCGAACTGTGGACGATGTAACTCAAACTGTGAGATGTAACCATTACGCCATCTGTTGGCCTTAATGTTTACTATTTTAGGTTGCTGAGTTTGGGGGTAGTTTGTTACACAACAGATCACAAATGAGTTGTTAAAAGTTCCCAATGGAGGGGACCAGCAGTTAGCGTAATGGCTATGTCACTGGACTCCCACATAGTCAAACACGGTTCCAGTCCTGGACCCAGTGGCTTAAACCCACACTGGGCCCGTGTGCGTGCGTG